TCCTCACTTTTTGGGCAATAAGATATACTAGGCTTATCTTATATTTTCCCTGCCCTGCCCTTGTCCTTTTAGCAGGAAATGATGTTTAAAAGTAAATCTCTCAACTCAGAAAGATCCAATATCATTTCCATGATACTCTTGCCAAGAAATGCATATCCTAAATGTAACCATGAACAAACATCAGACAAAAAAAATCTAAGGGTGTTCTACCAAACAAGAAACCTGTACTCATCAAAAATGTCAATGTCCTGAAAGGCAAAGTAAAGCTTAAAAAGTGTTCCAGGCCGGGAGCAGTGGCTCACGCCTCTAATCCCAGCACTTTGGGAGGCCAAGGCGGGTGGATCACGAGGTCAAGAGATCGAGACCATCCTGGTCAACATGATGAAACCCCGTCTCTACTAAAACTACAAAAAATTAGCTGGGCATGGTGGCACGTGCCTGTAATCCCAGGTGCTCAGGAGGCTGAGGCAGGAGAATTGCCTGAACCCAGGAGGCGGAGGTTGCAGTGAGCCGAGATCGCGCCATTGCACTCCAGCCTGGGTAACAAGAGCGAAACTCAGTCCCAAAAAAAAAAAAAAAAAGTTTTCCAGATGAAAAGAGAGTCAGGAGACATGAAAACCAACTACAGTGCCTGAAACTCGTTTGGATCTTGATCAGAATTTGGCAGAATTTATGAGGATTAGCAGATAAAATGTTATATGAAGAACATTTTTGGAACACCAGGCAAAATTTGAATAAGGGCTGAAGATTAGATGATAGTATACTCTCACTAAATTTTCTGATTTCGAAGGGGACTATGATACAGCGAACATTATGAGAAGATGAAAGGTGTATAGGAATTCTTTGTGCTCTTCTTGAAACTTTCTGTCCATTTAAATTTATTTCCAAATATGAAGTTTTAAAAAATTGACAATGTGGCATTAAGGCAAATGGTTAATGTATGAATAAATGGGAATTTACTTAAGCAGGCAAATTTCAGATAATTATCAATCTACTTTAATATGCTTTTATATATATATAACAAGCATATCTAACCTATAATTTCACAGATATTAGTACTTAATAGAGGCTAAATTTAAAGAAATTAATGTAAATAAAAATATTTATTAAATAACAGCACAGGTGCTGTGTAGATGCAGCAAAAATTATAAGTATTGAACAAGAATGATTGAAGTTTAAGGAACAAAGGTATATTGAAGAAAGCTCTTCCATCATGGGCCCTGTGCTTCTCTAGATATGGCTTCATATTTAACATTTTGAGTCAATTTCCTACTCTTTGTCCATAAAATGAAGATAAGAACATTTGTCCATACCATTTTCTATAATGATTACCAAAGGTATTACTAGGAAAAGTGTTGTTATTCTCTAAAGAATAACACCAGGCCAGATGCGGTGGCTCACGTCTATAATGCAGCACTTTGGGAGGCTGAGCCAGGTGGATCAACTGGCGTCAGGGGTTCGAGATCAGCCTGACCAATATGGTGAAACCCCATCTCGACTAAAAATACAAAAAAATTAGCCAGGCGTGGTAGCATTCACCTGTAGTCCCAGCTACTGGGGAGGCTGAGACAGGAGAATTGATTAAACTTAGGAGGCTAAGGTTCCAGTGAGCCAAGATAGTGTCACTGCACTCTAGCCTGAGTGACACAATGAGACTCTGTCTCAAAAAAAAACAAAAACAAAAAAACACCAAAACCATGGCCAGCCATGGTGGCTCACACCTATAATTCTAGCACTTTGGGAGGCCAAGACAGGTGGATCACATGAACCCAGGAGTTTGAGACCAGCCTGGACAATATGGTGAGTCCTTACAAAAAATAAATAATTAACTGGGTGCGGTGGTGCATGCCTGTCACCCTATCTACTCAGGAGGCTGCGGTGGGAGTACCTCTTGAGCCTGGGAATTCAAGACCACCCTGGGCAACATGGCAAAAACCCATCTCTACAAAAAAAAATACAAAAATTAGCTGGGTGTGATGGCATGCAACTGACTTACTCAGGAGGCTGGGGCAGGAGGATTGCTTGAGCCTGGGAGGTTGAGGCTAAAGCGAGGCATGACTGCACCACTGCACTTCAGCCTGGGAGACAGAGCAAGACCCTTCCTGTCTAAAACAACAACAAAAAGAATGGCACTGAATCCAAATGGAGCCATTTGATGCCATTCTGTATCCAAGAATGCCCTTTACTTCTCTTTATTTATCACAACATTTGTCAATGTTTCATCAGCTGGCGGCCAACCAGCAGCCCTCTTCTTGCCTCCTCCTCCTCCTTCTTCCTAAGTAGAGGCCGTCCCGTTCCTTCCTATCGCTTCCTGTGATTGAGAGAGTAGGATGGGAAATTTCAACCTCTGAACATGGCTGTTCTAACAATCATGGCCATAATTTGGTGTTATCCATTTGACTTCATCCCACTCACTCTCCCCCATCCTTAGCACAGTCCTGAGCCCTCTGGACCTTTGAGCACACGGGGTGCAATGTTTTGAGGAGATCATCAAGACATAAATGCTTATTTTTACTGTTTGATTTTAATAAGCTCTTTGTTATGTCTAGGGTTGTACAAAAAATATAAATAGGTAAAGATAATCTGTCACTTTCAGTGCACTGGCATTTTAGAACACAGAAGAATCAGTGTGAAGGAGTATAATTTACATCAGTAAAAAGCTAGATTTGAATCCTCACTCCTCTACTGTTCAGCTATGTGATGGTGAATGAGTTATTTAACCTTCCTAAGTATCTGTTTCCTTAGCTGTAAATTGGGATACCAAAATCTACCTTATGAGTTGGCTATTAAAATTTAAAAGATAATGATATAAGGCTGTAATTTTCAAACTTTCATGTGCATGCAAACAACTTTGGGATCCGTGTTAAAACACAGATTCTGTTTCTGTGGGTCTGAGGTGGGACTTGAGATTCAGCATTTTTAAAAATCTTCCAAGTGATGTATTATGGACCATACTCAGAATATCAAGGACTGAAGGCTGAAGGTGCAGAGAGAAATAGCTAAACCAGAGCAGATTCCATGTAAGTTTGCTTCACTCTCTCCTACTCCCCACCACTTCATTTTCTAAAGGGGTCTCTTAGCTAAAAGAGCTCACTAAGGAAAGTCAATCAAAAAATGACAAAGAAAAAAGCATAAGCAATTCACAGCTCTACAGTAGGGGTTGATTAGGGTCAAAAGAAGATATATTTAAACCTAATTAAGATAAAGGATCCTCGTTAAGTTGAGAGAAAGGCTAAGAGTAAAAACTCTGAGGACTGGTTGATTTCTGTCAGATTTCTGTCAGAAAAATATTGCATCAAGGGAATATAATGACAGCCTTGAAGAATGATGGTCCTGACTGTAATTCTGAAGGCAGTTTTAATATTATAGAACTCAGGAAATAACAATAACAACTTATTCTGAGATATTGTTTTAAACACTGCAAATCCCTTTGCATGCCTTAATGCATCCCAGTCCTCACTTCATAAACATTTTATCACCTTATTAAATAGGAGATCGTGAGCTCCTTGAGACTAGAGACCTGCCCTGTTCATATTTTTATTTCTAATATTTGGCAAACATCTGTATCTAGCAGGCATTTGACGAACATTGACTTGAAAAGAGATTTTTTTCACCCAGGTCCTCAAATACATATTATCCTATTTCATCGAATCTAAATAATCATCAATAATATGATACACTGTTTTATGTATCTCTAAGAAAGAAAAAATGTCCCCATTTAATTCTTGTGTACCATTTATTTTTAAATAGATCCCAATTTCAGAGATGTTAAAATGTGGGGAGAAATGTGAAGCTTAAAATTGAGACTGTACTATGTAGTCACTCACCCAGAGTAGATGTGAAATGACAAAACAGCCACACATAAAGGTTGCCGAATATACCCTAGGTAAGGAAGGAGACAAACAGGGACAGGGAGATATTTCTTTTTAATTTTTATTTTTATTTCAGTAGTTCTTGGGGTACAGGTGATTTATGGTTACATGGATAAATTCTTTAGCGGTGATTTCTGAGACTTTAGTGCATGCATCACCTGAGCAGTGTACACTGTACTCAGTGTGTAGTCTTTTATCCCTTACTCCCCTCCCAAACTTCCCCCTCAAGTCCCCAGAGTTCATGATATTATTCTTATGCCTTTGCGTCCTCATAGCTTAGCTACCACTTATAAATGAGAACATAAAACATTTGGTTTTCTATTCCTAAGTTACTTCTCTTAGATTAATGTCCCCCAGCTCCATCCAAGTTACTGCAAAACACATTATTTCATTCCTTTTTATGGCCGAATAGTATTCTATGGTGTATATATACCACATTTTCCTTATTCATTGGTTGATGGGCACTTAGGTTGGTTTCATGCTTTGGCAATTACGAATTGTGCTGCTATAAACATGTATGTGCACCTATCTTTTCCATATAATGACTCCTTTTCCTTTGGGTAGATGCTCAGTAGTGGGGTTGCTGGATCCAACCATGGTTCTACTTTTAGTTCTTTAAGGAAAAGATGTTTCTTTATTTCTTTATAACATAGAATGTGTCACAGATTCAGTAACTTGGAGGCAAGTGGGGATCTTTCTCAGATTGTGGTCAACATGGTAGACATCTTTCTGAGGAAAAGCATCAGTGGACTCCTGCCTTTAAAGACGAGGTGAACAGCAGAATCCATGAGACATTGTTCCAAGGCTAATGGTCCTTTAACAGAAAGCAGACAGAATAAAAATGCAGGGGGGAGCAGGAATGTCATTACTGTCTCAAGTTATACAAATCTGTGTAGTAGCTATTAGGGGAACCTAGAGCTACAGAAATTCAGTGAGGACGCTTGGAGCAGTTGTCCAGAAAGAGAGTAATTCTCTGTCTATATTAGTTCATTCTCATGCTTCTAATAAAGACATACCCAAGACTGGGTAATTTATACAGAAAAGAGGTTTCATTGATTGACAGTTCCTCAGGGCTGGGGAGGCCTCAGGAAACTTACAATCACAGCGGAAGGGAAAGCAAATGTATCTTTCTTCACATGGTGGCAGTAACAAGAAGTGCTGAGCATAAGTGAGGAAAGTGCCTTATAAAACCATCAGACCTTGTGAGAACTTACTATCATGGGAACAGCATGGAGGTAACTGCTCCCATGATTCAATTACCTCCCATCAGGTCCCTCTCATGACACATGGGGATCATGTGAACTATAATTCAAAATGAGATTTTAATGGGAACACAGCCAAATCATATCACTGTCTCTGGTATAAAAGTCTTGGATCAAGGGAGACATCTTTCTGCTGTGGATAAATGTGAACTGAGGAAACATTTTTATGCTCTCTCAACAGGAGATCACACTCAATGCCAGACTCTTTGATCCACTGAGAAAAATTAACAAGTTAGAATTACCTCCAGGTGAGGTTTTTTCCTACCTGTGGGAACTACTGTCACCACAGCTCATAGAGTGCAGCTCTGCAGCTGCCTTTACTTGAGTTGAAAAGACATTGGCAGAGAGTCTTTCTTCAAGTTAATGACCTTGGGCAAGATATTTAATGACTTGGGGCCTCAGTTCTATTATCTGTAAAATGGATAAGTAGTGCCCACCTCATCTTGAAATGAGAATGAAATAATACATGAGAATATTTTGAATAGTGTCTGGCATATGGCAATCACTCAATAAGCATTACATATTTTTATTATCTGACATTTTTATAGATTGACACAATGACTTGACTCAATGCTGCATTCATGATGATGCAACAAGTTGCATATGCCTGCAACATTCCTAAATTCCTATCCCAAACTTTTTTATTAACAGTTGGCTTACACAGGCAATGGCGAAATTAAAATTGAAAATCCACAACTGCAGGAAAGGATCCAATTCTAGAAACCCAGAAACATGGCCTTCGAAGAACTGGGGCCACGGCACTTCCCTTAAAGCAGTCTGAAAGCAACAGCAGCTCTGAGGAACGACGTCCCCAACCCACCTCACTGCACCTCAGTCTCCTTTCAGGATGCAGAGTGTGTGTAATCTGTCTTGTGCACAAAAGCATTAACCTCTGGAATCAAATGTGTCTGTTAATAAACCAACATGCCGCTCACACAGTCAGCCCCCTGTGGCGTTCCCCCCTTTGGAGCCACAACACTGGCATGTCACATTTGTCAGCTGGTTCAACTCCTTAAGCACAACATAATTTGGAAATGTGAAAGATCCCAAATTATCTTATCCAAAAGTGACAAATCAAGTATAGTGCCCACAAGCCCAGACAGTTTACACAAATAAACAAAACACAACAGTAGCGGGGGTATCAATCTCATAACAGTTTAGGAAAAACAAGTCTATTTCTTATCTGTAAGATTAATGAAATAGGCTGTAACCTCACCTCTCATTGTGGCTGAACAGAAAGCTGTTTTTCATCTATTCTGCAGTAACATAATAATGTCATGTCACAAAAGTTCATAAAGAAGGGGTCTATACTTACTTGCAGAATTATTTAAAATACCCAGTGACTAGTCATTAATGCAGAATTATTAAATTTTTCTCAGATATACTGTTTTTAAGAAGCTGCAAATATTAGGCATAGCCCAACTGCTAAAAATATCCTCCACTAAATAAGACTTTGTGTTGTTTTTTTTTTTACTATAGACACAACGATAAAGAATATTTATTTATATAGCACATAATTGGTATATTTTAAAAGCTATTGATATTTTTATATCTTTGTGGCCTTCTGCTGAACTTAGTTGTTCCAGTAGCTGTCAGGTTTATTTCTCTCACCTGATTTTAAATGAATGCTTATGTTATCTGGATTTAGCCAGGGCCCATTTTCCCTGCTTCCCCCTCTGAGCCGACACACACAGGCTTGAAAAGCTTAGGCAAGGAAGAAGGGGAAGCTGGCAGACTGCAATGAGGAAAGAGAACTTGGTTTCCTTTAGGTCAGATAACTGCTGAAGCCAACCGAATGCTTTCAGAGATGGGGGTACAAAATATAGCACCTTTCCCTCTCCAAACTCTGTTGAAAATGGTTGTACATCTAATGAAAATTCACATGGAACTTCACATGGTTAAACATAATCATACCCAGTGAGGTTTTTTCCTACGTAGAATATAAAATGTGCTTCCTCCTCAGAACTTATTTTCCATCAAGACTGTGAGTAATCATAGGAAGGGATTCATCCTGAGCAAAAATCAATTTTATTGGAAAAGCAAAGAAAGGTAATGCATACAAAAAGGGAAAAGCAACATTTCCCAGTAAATTCCCAGGTGGGGAGATAGGCTGAAACCACATGCCATGTCTACACTACTAATTTGAGCAATGGAATTTGGATGCAAGTTAAACTGGATCATCTGTATCATATTTGAGCATACGCTGATTTGACAGGAAAATTGTAAAAAACCAACACTGAAGCCCAGCCATCAGTCTTGGTAGTAAATTGTGCTCACCTAACAGCCCAGAAAGTTCTAGAGCAGACACATCTAGGATAAATACGTTCATGGACTATGTGTGTGTATGCATGTGTCGGTCTGTTGGCATTGTTTTTCAATTGAAGAATTGTTCCATGTCTTCTTTATCCAAGCTATGCATAATCCACACATAGCAAACAGTCAAGAAATGTCACATTAAAAAAGACCTTTTTGCTAAGAGGTGAAATGACCAAATGACTACAGGACACCCTTATTTAAGAGAGAACTCAAAAATGAGGGGGAAACAACATTCCAGAACTCATTATTTACTTTGTGTGATCACCTCAATTTTTGTACTAAAGAAGTCTTCAATAAGTGGAAAGTAACTGCAAGCCAGAGATTTCTGACTGCCTCCCTGAAGCCTTTGGCCGGGTGCCTCTGGAATTCTAGAGGGGTTGCTGGCTGGAACACTCTGGTCAAGGCTTGCTTTGTCTTATGCTTCTTGATGAAGCACACAAGGTTTGATTCTGCTACTAAGAGCAGGGCGAACATTCAAGTACTGAATTACCTACCATGGCCCTGAAATAGTTCCCAGTAACCAGAAATTCCTATGAGAAATCTATGTAGCCAGTGTCTTCCTTTCTTCTAACCAATAAGATCAAACCAAACTAATAGCTTAATTCCTCACCAGTAATGACAATGAGGAATTACATTTAGGACCTAAATAATAAGTGCTTAATAAGTCATTGGAATAAGTGCCTTCTTAAAAGAATAAGAAGACTTGCACAGCTTAATGGGGAAAGACAATCTGGAAGCGAGTCATTAAATATATCAGGTTAAGTGTTGAACTCAAATAAACAAAAAAATACTATGTAACATGAAGAAGAGATTCATAACCCCTGTACAGAAGTCATAGAAAATTTCATGGAAAGGTGGCGTTTGACCCGGTTTATCAAAGATATGCAGAAACTGATAAATTAGAGAAGGAGAGGAAGGGCATCATGAAATAAAGAAACAGCAGTGCAGAGACACTGAGCTGTCCGGGTTCAGGGTCTGCACTCCATGCCTCTGAGTGGTTTGTACTGTGGGAGTGCAAACAGAAGATGAAACCAGGAATAAAGAAGGACAGATTCTCATGGGCTTATTTAGCAAGTGCTAAGATCTGAATGTACCCAAAAATTCACTTATTGAAACTTAATTCCCATTGTCGTGGTATTAAGAGATGGGATATTTTAGCAAATGGTTAAGTCATAAAAGTTTCACCCTCATGAATGAACTCGTGCCTTATAAAAGCGCTGGAGGGAAGCAGCTTTTTTTGCCTTTTCATCTTCCACCATGTAAGGACATAGCGTTCAAGGCACCATCTCAGAAGCAGGAACTGGGCTCTCACCAGACACCAAATTTGCCTACTCCTTGATCTTGGGCTTCCCTCCTCCAGAACTGTTCTTTATAAATTGCCTAGTCTGTAGTATTTCATTATAGCACACAAACAGACTGAGACAGCAGGGGAAGACATATGGATTTATCCTAGGGATAAAGTGGAAAGCCAGTGGAAATTTAAATCAGGGGAGCCATATAGTAAGATTGGATCTTCAGGAGCTATCTGAAGATAAGGGAAAGGAGAGAAAAACATTTATGAGAGCTTTTGTAGTTGTCTAGGTAAGATACAATGCTGGCCTGAACTAAAAGAGTAACATCAAGAATGAGTAGAAAGGACTGAATCAGAAAAATGACCCTGATTTAGAATTGTAGAAGATATTGGCCTAGTGCGGTAATCCCAGCACTTTGGGAGGCCAAAGCAGGTGGATCATCTGAGGTCAAGAGTTTGAGACCAGCCTGGCCAACATGGTGAAACCCTGTCTCTAATAAAAATACAAAAATTAGCTGGGCATGGTGGGGAGCACTTGTAATCCCAGATACTTGGGAGGCTGAGGCAGGAGAATCACTTGAACCCAGATGGTAGAGGTTGCAGTGAGTCAAGATTGCGCCACTGCACTCCAGCATGGGTGACAAGAGTGAAACTCTATCTCAAGAAGAAAAAGAAAAAGAAAAAAAGGAAGAAAGAAGAAGAAAGAAGGGGAAGGTGAAAAGAGGATATTATATAATCAAATAGGGAGAATAAAAGAGGAAAGGAGAAATAAATAATGTCAAGATTTTTTATCTTGTATAATTGGGTGGAAATTAACATCATTAATACAGAAAAATCAGGTTTGAAAAGATTGATTTTGAGATGACAAAAGGAAGTCAAGCACTGATGCCCAACAGACAGTAGGAAATATTAATCTGCTTAGAAAATTTTATTTGTAGTGGATTCTTATGACCTACTTAATTTCTGCAAAGTTTAGAAATGTTGACAAGTATGCAGAGAGAATAGAAAGCATACTCCATGTCCTCTTAGAACTTATATTTCTCAAGACTTTCAACTAAAATTTCTGCTCATTTAAATTCTTTCCAAATCTCAGTTCCCACATGCAGGAAGCTTTCTTCTATTCCCAAAGCTTTAAATCATCTCTCCTTCTTCTGAATTTCGCTGTCCACATGCATGTTGACAATGTCTTTCCTTTGGCATTTATATGATGCCCTGTGCCTAATTGTCAGTTGAGTCTTTATAAATATGTATCCTGTTTTTCCCAAATGAATTGAGAATATTCTCAAAGGCAGCGCTATAGTTCATTCTTTTCTTTTTCAGTCTTAAATATTTTGCACAATGTCCAACAGCAAGTGGCAGCTTAGTTGAGCCAGATCGCCTGGGCTTGAATTCCAGCTTTGTCACTAACTTGTTATATTGGCAAGTTATTTACTCTATATCTAGTTTCCTTACCTAAAAATGAAAACAACAATAATACCTGCTTCACAGAGGTGCGATGAAAACTCAGTGAGATAATAAATGCAAAGCATTTTCTAAGTTCCTAGGACATAGCAAGAGTCCATAGGTCTTCGTATTAGTCAGGATAAGTCAGGATGTGCTATGTTAACAAACAACCTCGGTGTTTCAGTGGCTTAAAACAAATGAAATGTATTTCTTCTTCATGCTACAGATTGAACTGATCAACAAGGTATTTCTGCTCACCAAGTCACTCAAGGACCCAAGCTCACAGCAGCCATTATCTTGAATGCTGTTGGTTGTCATGTGAGAGGGAAAGAAAGCCTGGAAGGTCTTGCACCCGCAATTAAATATCCAGAATGAAAGTGTCTCATTCACTC